GGGACAGGAATCACTATGTTATCACTATGCTTTATTTTACTATAAAGAATTCTGTTTCTCTACATTTGGTAAGATAAATACAGCAGTGAGCTTTCTAAGAACATAATGAGAAAAGTTCTGTGAGGTTCCAGTCCCCATCAGCATCAATGATATGTAAATTGCAAAAGCATTATGACCTTTATCTATGAAAATAGCTCTGGAAAAAGCTAAAACATACTCAGTTATTTCCCTCCATAAAGTAATCCCTAGATAGTTTCTGGGCCTGAATATCTCTGTGAAAGGAATTACAGTGATTTGTTGATGCTCTGTGGAGCTTTTGAGCTCTGAATCCTCTCTGTTTCCATCCAAAGTTCTTAAATGGTGGAGATGCATAAAACTTTGACAGTGGCTGTCCACTGCCCAAAGAACCTTTCCTTATGGAGGTGATTGGGATCACACTGGCATGCCAAGTTTTTTACTAGAGGCCATGAGAAATCACTGAGAACTCTAATGGACCAGCATCTGTGGGCTCCTCTCTCTGTGAGCTGAATGGGTGGACAGCTGCAGAAAGGAAAGCTGCTGTTGGATTGTTCACACAGCAGGGGTAAGTAGCTCCCCCTCTGTGGTGGAGGATATGGCATGGCTGTGGTGTTCCCAACTGAGACAAAGATTAGTATGACTTTATAAGGCACAAAATGAGCCCCAGTGTCTTCACAGCTACGGATCGTTCTGGTCACTCAATTTGGACAGATACATTGAAGTAGAAGTTGCTGAGAAGGGTGGTGGTTATACGTAAACTCTGGTTTATTAGAGAGGAGTAAAAGAGCATGGCTTTTACAGTCTCACAAAAAAAGCTTAGAAAAGGTATATTACTGCTTGAAGATAAATGAATGTAAATTCCAGGGTGGAAAACATCCCTTTAAGTGAAAAGAGAAGGAGTAATCAGAAATCAGTAGAAGCTAACCATTATTGTGTTCATGTAAGAAATTAAAAGGTTTGATGCTAGTAGACAACAGATCTTCTGGAATAGCCCTGGCTCTCACAGCAGTGCACATGAAAGCCTGAGTGATTTTAAAATGATGCTTCAGCAGTTTTTAAAAGGGATTAGATTATATGGTACCTGTGGGATAAAGGGAAACATTAGAATATGGTCATGTTCCCTTCTCTCTGCCTTCTCTGACAACTGAACTTAAGGTAGAAATGTAGCTAATAGCTTTGCCAGTGAGCACCACTCAAAAGGGAGGATTCTACATTCACTGACTCATGTAGGTGTCTTAATGAATGAATGGTAAATGGCTGTCAACCTGGTCCCAAGCAAAGAATATATTTTAAGGAATTTTCAGGCTTCTTATAGAGTTGTGGAAGAGATACCACCAGCTCTGCTATGAATGAGGTTCAACAGAACTAACAGACTGTGAACCCAAATTTTCCTCAGACTCTTTCCTGCATGACAGAACATCCAGGGAGGAATTTCCACAATTCTGCTCTTGATTTAAGGCCTGAAGATATGAGAGGAAATGGGAAGCAGATTAGATCTTTGTTTCTTTTTCTTGGCAATTTTAATTCATGAAAACACTCTCTGTACTCCTAATCCAAGTCTTCCTCTGCTGATCTCACTCTCTTCTCTACAGCCATTAGAACAATGGGATATTACAATTGTCTTAGATTGGGGAGAAGTTGCTGTGCTAGCTAAAAAGTTGGCACCACATCTTCTATTCAGAATGCTGCATGCTGGTGGTGCCTGTTCAGATAACCTCTATCTATAGTTGAGTAATACCACAAATGGGGAAAACCCCAGAGAAATAGGAAAACCCCTAACTGTTTGTGCATTGTGTAAGTATATTTTACTTAGGCTCTTTGCCAAAGAAGATATGAATCAAAAATTCTCCCTGTATAGGTGTAAAATGTACTATCATGTTCAGGATCTTATTTTTGCATAAAAGATGCCCTTGGCATTTGTAAAAGGGGAAGAAAATTTCCATTCCTGTTTTAGTGTGTTATGTTTTTCTATTGCACTCATCACTGAAAATTCCTGAAAACAAAAGATATAGAAAGTGAGAGAGGAACTTGGTTAATTCATTTGAGTTATTCTTTCAGAAAAATGGTCTCTTTGGACTGTTTTGCAAAGTGATTGTAAAAGAAAATGCCACCCCCACCCACTTGGTATTGTACAATAAAAATAAACACTTCTCAAAAAAATAAGAAATTGGGCTATGACAAAATGTTGCTGTAACTGGGAAGTGTTTGTGCAAATATTTGATTATTTATATAAACCTTCCCAACAACTCCTCACCCAGAACACAACCAAGTGCCCAAGGATGACAAAACATCTTACCAGATCAAAAGTCACAGAAGCATGTTTCTTTATTTCCTGTGGAAAAGTCAAGAAAATAAATGTAAGGGTTCAGATGATAGGATTCCTCTATGCAATAGTGAAAACCAGTAATTAATTAGGACTTAGGTATAAGTGAATTTTTTTATCATGCCATAGCCAACAGAAGTGGATGTTTTGTTTTTCCCCCTGCAATATATGTAATTTAATTATTTTACATTCAGTTTTCATTTTTCAGGTTTCACAACAGGGGGATGACCTCCTCTAATTAAAAGGCTGAATCCTCTGATTTTTGTGAGATTTTTTATTGTTCAATTCATTGTGGTCTTGATTTTTTTAAATGTATTTTTTGCACTAAGGTTATAACCAGAAAGAATGGTTAGAGAAGTTAAAGATGCTGTTCTAAGAAATTTTGACTGGCAATTAGGAACTATGTCAAGCCACCTAACCAAAATATTTTCAACAGTCTGGCTGCAAAATGGGAAGTTAAAAACATGGAAGTAATTTGCTGAATGATCAGCCTCATGAGAGATTAATTTCTCCCAGTAAATAATGACTGAGAAATTAGTTGATCCAGCAGTTCCTTACAGAAATAATAAATAACAAGTATTTCTATGATACAGCAGAAATTAGGTTTTATCAGTTACCATTTTCAGTTTTTCATGGGGATTTGAGGAAATTATAAAACCTTTGAAATAGAAGTATCCCAGTTTTAGAACAACAATGTAAAGAAGTTTGGTATGCTTTATAGAATCATGAAATGGTTTGGGCTGGAAGGGAACTTTAAAGGTCACCTAGTCCCCTGTGGTGAGCAGGGATAGCTCCAGCTGGGTCAGGGAACTCTGAGCCACATCCAACCTGGCCTTGAATATTTCCACCACCCTCACTGTAAAACATTTTCTTACTTACATCTGATCTAAATCAACCCTCTTTTAATTTAAAACCATTATGCCTTGTCTGTTGCAACAGGCCCTAATTTGAGTGTCAATGTATTATGCTGTAGAAGCAGCCAAACCGATATCTTTAAAAATGTCACAAAACATTTTTCTAATCTTTAGTCTAGGACAGTATATGACCACAATGGTCTTATTATAAAATGTGGTTTAAAATACCACCTTTATGCATTTGCACTTTTTTTGAGTCATAGTATCAAATTGCCAACAGTAGAAGATGACAACTTATGTCCAAAAGTGATTGTTAAAAAATAGGACTGCCAAAAGGACAGAAGAATGGGAACTGATACAGGTTAGACAGTGGTCACTGGTTTTCCAAAGGCCTCCTTTAAGAAGGCACTTATTTAGCTCAAATGAAAAGCTGCCATGAAGGACAGGACACACTTCTCAGGTACCCCAGGCAGCTGCCACAGGGGACAGAATATGCTGCCATTTCTCACCTGCAGCAATAATATGGTTTTGCTCCACAGCTTTATTTCTGTGGAGCACAGGATACCCTGTGGATGAAAGCCTCCTGGAAAACCAAGCAAGAGTTATGCTTGCCCAGGCTGTAGCCTCCTTTCAATTGTTGTGTTTGAATTCAAGAGCTTTTAAATGTCCACCAGAAGACTTTTGCTGTCTCTAAAGCTCACAGGTTGCTGGCTTGTTGACAAGATCCTAAAATGTTTTAAAAGGACTGAGAGCTGCCAGCCCATTTGAGAGCAGAGGAGAGAAGGTGCTGCCTGCTATTTTTGTGGGTGTGACAAAAGTATCTCTGTCAACAGGACACTGCTTTTAAAGGGAAGAACATAGGAACATATATTCTGTATGGAAAAGAATACTGGTATAAGGGCTATGCCAGAACAGCAGCAAACAGTGTTTGCTGGCTAAGGAATAGCCTTTCTTTATAATGTCATACTTAGCAGTCAAAGTAAGATTTGTTATTTTTGTACTGTACAAAATTTTAGTGTGTGGTTAAATTTTTTTTTTTTTTTTTTTTTTTTTTTTTTTTTTTTTTTTTTTTTTTTTTTTTTTTTTTTTTTTTTTTTTTTTTTTTTTTACTGGGAGAATGGATGTAGTCTGTCTGAAAGATAGCTGGAAGCTTGTTAAAATCTCAATGCCAGGTTCACTTTGCCTCTTACAAAGACACTTTCTCTAGAACACAATAAGTACTGTGGCTGAGTAATTTTATTTTCAGTGTTTAAGCCAGATGTCTGAAATAAAAAGTCCTCTTTCTAGACTTCCTTTGCAATTGCCATAGTGCTTCCTTTCTAGTACGATCTTCTAAAAATCACATATGTTTAATAATGTTTTAGATATCTTCTGTTATAAAATCATTTGGTTTCTTTGCTCTGGTGTGAACAAATCCATTTTAGAGTTTTATGAAGTCTTGGTCAGTAGGAATGGGAAGTAATGCATGACCTCTTGGTCACTAGGAATGGCAGTACCTCATAAAATTATGTCTTTATTTGATGGAAATCTTATACTTGTTAAAACAGTTTCATTCACTGTGGAAATACATGAAAATAAGGATAATGCTGATCTTGTGTTCCCATACGTATTGGGCTGTCATATGCAGCACTGATGTGTTTTTTCCACTGTATTGGAAAATAATTTTTTTAACCTTTAAAATTATTTCAGTTGTGAACTATGAATATGTTTACCTGTTTAAGGTATGTTTACTTGTGTTCAATGATTGAGCAATATTTGTTTTTATTATTACCTCAGCTTTTAAAATATTTTGTTTCTGTTTGCAGGGGATTCACTGTAAAAGCAAACCTTCTGGTGAGTATACGTCATTCACATTTTTGCTGGGTTTTTTTAAAGGTAATTTATTAAAGATATTAAATCCACTATCATAGTGACATCAGATCACTGTCGTGACAGGGTATTTACTGCCAGTTCTTTAATAAAAAACATTGGAAATTGGTAGGTTTTGATAAATATTAGGCTAATAATGCCAACTGCTTTATAGTTTTCCTTACCATAGTGAAGGAAAGAGAGTTTGCTAAGTAATTTTATATATTTTTATTGCTTCTACTCATTATTGATATTGCCTATAGTAATAACACAGGGTCTTGAATGACCTGAGCTCTGAAGCCTCCATCAGTCACTCCTCCAGAGCACACAGTCATCTGCAGGGAAGTACGAGGCTGCTGCCTGGCAAACTGCCCACTGAGAGGAGAGTCACAGTCCTGCCTGAGAGGACAGTCATGACCCCTGCTGAAAGGACTGTCACTGTCCCCACTCAGAGGACAGTCAGGCTCCCCTGAGAGGGCCATCCTAGCTGGAGCTCAGCTCTGAGCACTGCTGGTGCCCACGGCAGTGAGTGCATAGACGTGGAAGATGTGATGCTGAGCTCAGGCATGTGAGATGCTGGTGCTGTGGCATGGGGCATGAGCTGAATGCCAGCTGGCATGAATCCTTACTCAGAATGCATGGCATTTATGGGATTGTGTTGAGATGGAGAGAAAGAATATGTGTTTGGAAGGGATGCAGATAAAAGTCCCCCCAGAAAAAATCTCTAGTCTTCTGCTGGTCAGCAGAGTAGCCTTTGGTGGCTAGTTCAGGGGTTGTAAATGAATCTTGTTGGGACTAGGCAGCTGAGTTGGTAGTTGCACAAACCATGTGGAAGGTAGAAGAAACAGGGGTGTTGACCCTTGCTGTGCTAGCTGAAGCATGCCTTTATGTCCTTGAGCAGTACAGGCAGAGAAAATCAAGACCTTCAACCTATTCTCAAAGGGAAGAACACTCGTAATTCTGTTGGTTATGAGTTAAAATCTGTGCTGGGTGTTACACAAATGCAGATTTAGATAGTGGAGAATCATTGGTACCACGAGGTGGTGATTCATTCCATCCATTTTAGGACAAGGGATTTCTATGCTGGGAGAGAGGCAAGAGGGGTTGTCACGCTGTTGACTGCCAGAGTTGCTCAGAGCACAGCCTGGCTGAGGTCAGAAGGCACCTCTGGGAATCATTTGGTCCAACCCCTGATGCAGGGACATGCAGATGATGCACGCCAGATAAGCTCGATATTTCACTCAACTGGAAGGGCACTGAAGGGTTTGTAAACTAAAGATCCACATCTCTGAAGACAATATACATGAAGCTGGTTGTAGGTTTTTCAGTGCTGTCTGAAAAAATCTTATCAGCTACCTTCAACACATGTAACATGTAGGATGACTCAGACTTAGAGGGGTAATGAAAAAGCATTTTCTGTCTTCATCCTAATGTAACAGTGGGTGTATATTCCTTTGCATACTTCCTTTTCTATATTATTTTTAAAAATTATTTGGTATTTGAGATAAAATTACTTTAAAAGATGTTAACTCTATAGTAGAGGACTTTTACAATAGTAATTTCTTTTAGCATCAACAAAAATATATTTCCTAAAATTTGCAGCCACTACCTCAGTAGTATTTGGCAGTGTGACTTTGACTCTGCCTTCCTCCTCCTGCTCTTCTAGACTGTTAGGTAGCACATAAGAACTACTGTAGTATTTGAAATTCACTGTAATATATCCATAAATGGATATAAAAATATCAATGATTAAAAAAAATTAATTTTCAGAAAATGTATTTGGCACAGTGTATCACAGTGTTGTTCAATATCGCTAAAAGTTTGAAATGTTTTCTGAACACACAACCATGAAACCCTTTTAATTTACTGTGTATTGCAATCTCTTGTGAAAGAGAGGCTGTCAGTCTAAATTTTAATCAATTTCATAATTGCTGTAAGTACTTACAAGTAGTGAATTTTGGTACTTATTAACTGAAGTGCACCATGTGGTTATTGTAGGACAGCACATCTACTTTGCTGATGAATTTTGTTGAATCATCCTAATGAACAGTTGCAGCAGATACTGTGGTAAATCATATGCAAATAGGTTTGAAATACTACTGTAATTTATACTCATGGAATGATGTGCCAGTGAAGCAATTCTAGTAGGCTTTAGAGATGCTCACAGATTTAGCACTGTCAGTATCCTTAAGTAGCTCAGAGTCTTACAATACTTATAGGGATGATTTATCAGATAAAAAAACAGTCAGGATTTTCTATTGG